AAATAACTTGTCTTTCGATTTTTCCTAATCCTTAATATACAACAACAAACAAAATTAAATCATGTAAGCCCCATATAAGGCCCAAAATAAATCAATTACACAAATTGAAACTTGAATTGCATCTTACAAAAAATGGTTCTACAATATTTTCGCTTAGCGGTCTTCCTTCCCCGAGTAAAATTTCAATTAAGTTAGTTGGACAGGATTGACACTTATGCTTAGTAGATTCTTAACACGCTCAACAAAATTGTGAAATCTAGAATGAAATCTCTAATAATAATTTGTTGAGCAAAATCCAGCTACGCTAAGCGAATTCTTCAATAATTAACTTATTTTCTTCTTTAATTTATCATTCTTGCATCAAAGTATAATTAATTAGTTAAAATATACAATTATAGATAATAAATTGGACACATAACTATTTATTTCTTTTTTATTAAAATTATGTTAGCAATAAATAACTAATTAATTAAATATCCTAAATATATATTAATTATGTTAATAAAAACATTGATAAAATATATTCATCATCTAACTATGAATGATGTTGCTGATGATGTATATGTCACTTAAAAAGACCATAATGAAGGAATATACATTTATATGGATAATTATTATTTTGTTAAGCTTTTTATTTAATACTTACAATTATTATAAAATTGCATCTAATAACTTGAGTTTGGTTTGTTAGCAGAAAAATGGCTAATGGAGATCAACCATCCTTTAATTTGAAGGTGATGTGCAAGAAATCTAATAGAAAAGCTATTTGGTTGAGGTTTCTCTCAATTATATGGAGCGGTACGAGGGCATCAATCATTATTAATATCAACACACTAGCTCTAAGCCAAATACTAAGTCTTTTAATATATATATCTAAGTATGTTAACTTGTGAGATGTTTTCTATCTAAATTTCACTGAGTGGATTATTGTGTTGCTGAGTGAAATCCTTAAATTAAACCTTATTTATTCTTTAATTTATCATTTTTGCATAAATATATAAATATTTAATTAAAATGTATAATTTAATTAATAAATTGAATAAGGATCTAATTAATTCTATTTTCCTAAAACTAGGTTAATAATGATAAATTAAATAGCTAAATAAAATAGTTATATAGAAAATATATTCATAAGTCCTCATAAGTATATCTACCCATTTTTTTTATGTTGAGTCTACTTGTACTTCTCGTAAGGTGAAGGTGGTGAATGAGGGTCAAGAGTAAAAGCATCTAGTAAGAATACAAATCATATTTTCTCCTTTTTTTTTTTTCGTTATTATTACTTGTTCTAGCTTTTGATAACCTATAAGACAATAATTAAGGGGTGAATAACTTTGCTTTCTTTTTAAATCACTATCCCCAATTAAAAATAACTTTATGAATTAGTTAACTAGAATTGTAATTATGTACATGAAAAACAAACAAATATATAATTACTTGTTATTTCTCATGTTGGCGAATTTTAATAAAATTTGTTCAAATTTCTTTATTAGTCGTTGTGTATTTAATACAATAATATTCATTATTTCTTGTACCTAATACATAGTTCATTGTCAATTTAAACTTAAATTGATGTGTAATGAATAGTATAATCTTCCATTTCAATATTTTAGGATATCATAATGTATATATAAAACAAAAACAAAAACAATTAGAAAATTTGATCAGACAAATTATAACAAAATATATATTAAATTTTTTTACCAACACAATAAAAAGTATATTTTGTTAATTAAAAATACTAAAAATGTTTTTTAACAACTCAAATAACCACTAAATAATCCAAAATAATACTAAATAATCTTATTTTAGGTTCTTTAATAGTTATTTTGATTGTCAAACAATTATCTGGATATACACTTAGCTTTTGTTTGGGATGGCTCTAAGGGAGTGAAAAAGACCGAATGATAACGGGAAGTGTGAGACTGTTTGGATTAGGAAAAGAAAGCAAAAAAAAAAAATCAAAAGATTATAAAATATAAAATTGATTTATTAATTTTAAAAAATAAATAATTAAAATAAAATAATAAATAACTAAATACTCTTGCGATTATTTAATCTAAACTAAATATAAATTAAGATATAATAAAATATGTGATAATTATTTTTAAAATTTTAAATAAAAATTTTTATTAAAAAACTATATTATTTAAATAAATAATGTAATTTAATATTGAGTCTTCTGGTATTATTTCTTTAAAAATAATACAACCTAAAAATCATTCAAATTTAATATAAATATTTCCCATATTATTTTTACTATACTTTAATATATATTTTTTAAATTAGAATTGACCAAGTTTATTTTAATAAATGTTATATTTATTTGAAAATTATTTAATATAAATGTTAAAAAATACAATTACTCTTTTAATTTTTTATTTTAAAAATCAATTTTATGGAAAATCTTAAACAAATTTTTCAAAATTTTTATCTATTTGATTTTTTTATTATTTATTATTTTGTATATATTTAGTAAAATATAATATTTATGGACATTTCTCTAAATTTTATGTAAAAGGTGTAAATAATTTATTGAGATTATTTATTATAATAATATTTTTATTAGGAGTGTCAAAATAAATTTAGTATGATTGAAACATTTGAAAAATAAATTAAGTTAGGTCAACTTATTAAGTAGGTTTATTATAAATTTATTTTATAGAATAATAATTATTTTTTAAATAAAAATAATATTATTTTATTAAAAATATATATGTATTATAAATTAATTTTATAAAAAAAATCATTTATTTTAATAGCAAATATCAAAATAAATCTATAACAATCTCTTATTCTAATATTTGAATAAGTTTTTAATTTATATTTTGATATTGAATAGATATATTCTCTTATCATTTATATATTAAATTATTATATCTTAAATAAAAATTAATTTCATTAATATAATTTAAATTTTAAAAATATATTTTTATTTAAATATTTTTTAATTAATTAATTTTGTATAAATATATTAATATTTTTTTAATTTTAATCATATCAAAATTTATCCATTGACCTAAATATAAGATTAGATTAAATTAAAAATTTTAAAATATAAATTAGACTAAGTCAATAATTTTTTTTACTTAAATTTTAGCTATTCTAATTTTTATTAATATAATAAACAAAATAATTATTATTCATTATTATTCTTTATATATATACATATATTATTTATTTAATATTTTATTAAAAATATTACTTTTAAAATAAACTATTTTAGTAGTTGAATAATTTAATTTTAATTGTGATATTTATTTAAATTCATGTAAATAAATTACGTGGTTTCAGTTATAAAAGTTCATCAAATTAATTCTATCATTTTTGTTTTTTACTTAGTTGGATAATATAAAAAGATATTTTAGAATATTCATCCAAGCTTATTTTCCAGCAAATTTTAAGACCATCATTTCATCTTCTCATTTTTTTTTTATTTCAAACCTTGGATCCGAACCAGTTTCATCCCTACTCCTTCACTTCCTGTTCAAAAGTACTCTCCCGGTACGAAACTGAAGCCTAGAGGCGAATCAAACGAGTGTTCAGCACGAGCGCGTGAGGGCTTTCTCCGAACCCTGCCTGCACCACGCGAACTAATTCTCAGTCTCAATCGAAGGTATTTTTCTCCTCTTTCTTCCTTATTTCTCTCCAGCAACTTAATTTCATTCATTTCCACTCGCTCTGTACACTTTATCCTTCGCAACTACCCTCTGCCTCGTTCAAAACCCTTTCCGCTTATATTGAAAAATATTTTTCACTCTTTTTTTCCCTCACCGCTTAACCAACAAAGCCCTAATACGTATTTGCATAAACTATTTGGTATCGCCAACTATGAACTTCAACAAGTTGCTGTTGCTTTCAGATTTCCTCTTGGGTTGGCTTGCACTCGATGGTGTTAGGTTTTGTATGCTTGATAGGCTTCCCGTTTGGCGTTGGATCATATTTTTGCAATATTTTCTCAGCTTTGAAAAGTTTTTCAATAAAATTTTGTCTATTATTTGATTTGTGCTTCTGCTCTGGATTTATTTTATGTAAGTATGTACTATCTGAAACTGTGCTGTTCGGAAGTTGATGTAATTGTCACTTATTTAGTGTTATTTAGGACTATTTGCTTTGGAAGTTCCTGTTTATTGCAATAGGTTATTGACCTGTTCTATTTGATAGGAATGGGAAAAAAAGTTGTGAACCGATCCGACCCAAACCTTGGATTTGAACTGCATATAACCAAACTCTTTAGCATCTGTTGTTTTTATGTCCACCATTTGGTGCTGTTTGTTTGTTACATGTGCAATTCAATGATTTTTTGTTTCCAAGAACCAAACTGAATTGGCTAATGGTTATGCTTTTTTCTAAAATTGTATCTTCATGAAAGCAAGCTGCAAGTGGTTTTGAAATTATGTGTTACTGCAATATGTGGCAAGTCATAACATCAGTGTCGTTCATGAGGTGCTGAAGAAAATTCGAAAGAGAAGGAAAACAGAGTCAGTCATAAAGCTGTGGTTAAACAATTGTGATGCGATTTTTATTGTCCAATTATCTGAACTAAACAAATACCTTCCTAAACAAATCTCTATGAAGAACATCTTTCTTATGGCTTATGCATATATTAAGATCAAGTGATCAACTCAAATAAGTTCCCCCTTACATGTGCTTTCTGTAAATCGACAACTGATTATCAGAATTTAATGTATCCTTAGTAGGATTGAATTTCATTTTTAGTGTATTACTTGGCTTTATCAAATGTTGACTTATAATTTTACCTTTTGCATTTTTTTTTTGTTTTATTTTTTGGGGGGAGGCTTGTGGACATTTATTTCTTATCATAATTTTAATCCAAAGGTAGATGATGATCTGTGAAATTAATATAGAAGGCCTTGACTGACTATGATTACTCTTAATCGGTGCCTATGGTCTTTTTGAGATCTTATATCTGATTCTTCGTTTTCTCTTTCAGTGAGGTTACAGAAATTTAACCTTTTCAATTCTGAGCGAAGTTCAACATGCAAGTTTTTCCAAGTGAAGGTGAAAGTGCTCTGTCAGTTGTTGGTCCAAGGCCAATGGAATGGTCTACTGTTCCATATAATGCACCACAAGCTCCTGGAGCAAATGGAAAGCAGCGGACCTCAAGTTTGGAATCACCAATCATGTTGCTGTCAGGCCACCAGAGTGCTATATATACCATGAAGTTCAATCCAGCAGGATCAGTCGTTGCATCTGGATCTCATGACAGGGAAATTTTCCTCTGGAATGTGCATGGGGATTGCAAGAACTTCATGGTTCTGAAAGGTCATAAGAATGCAGTTTTAGATCTTCACTGGACTACGGATGGGACACAGATAGTTTCTGCCAGCCCTGATAAAACAGTGAGGGCATGGGATGTGGAAACAGGAAAACAAATCAAAAAGATGGTAGAACATCTCTCATATGTTAATTCATGTTGTCCTTCCCGAAGGGGACCACCTCTTGTTGTCAGTGGCTCTGATGATGGAACTGCTAAATTATGGGATATGCGTCAAAGGGGTTCCATCCAAACATTCCCAGATAAATACCAGATTACAGCTGTTGGCTTCTCTGATGCATCAGATAAGATCTTCACTGGTGGGATTGATAATGATGTCAAGATTTGGGATTTGCGTAAAGGTGAAGTTACCATGACACTACAAGGTCATCAAGATATGATTACTTGTATGCAATTGAGTCCTGATGGGTCCTACCTTCTTACAAATGGCATGGATTGCAAGCTTTGCATTTGGGATATGCGCCCATATGCTCCACAAAATCGCTGTGTGAAGGTGTTGGAAGGGCACCAACACAACTTCGAGAAGAACTTGTTGAAGTGTGGTTGGTCTCCTGATGGAAGCAAGGTAACAGCTGGTAGTTCTGATCGAATGGTTTACATCTGGGATACTACTTCTCGTCGCATCTTGTATAAGCTTCCTGGTCACAATGGATCCGTTAATGAGTGTGTTTTTCATCCCAATGAGCCTATTGTTGGATCTTGCGGCAGCGACAAGCAGATTTATCTGGGGGAGATATGAAACCTAATGTTAGGAGCATGCCATAATGAAATGAGCATGTTAGTGCTTTTGACCATCTTTAGGGACCGGTAAACTTTAGAAATCTAGAAGTCCTTCTCTTGTTTCCTAATCCATGAATTCCGTGATTGTATAATGTTCTGCCAAAAATATTATATCGTGCTTTCCTTACTAAATTGATGTAATTTGAGATTTGACATTGGTGAGAATGGCTCCATCATTTCATATTGAACTTCAAGTCATTTTGCTTAGGTCTGAAAGCTTTATTCCTTCATGAATTGGATTATTTTTAAAATGAAAAATGTTAGTACATTCTTGATGTGTATTTTTGTAAAGCATTATAATTAATTAGGTATGTTTCACGTAGATCTTGTTAAAAAGATTTGTCATATTCTTGTTTTATAATTTACCTCATCCATGATAGAAAAGGAATGCAAGCTCTACCCACTTCTATTTCTATACTATTTTGACTTGGGTACGTGCGCAGGATTAAATTTCATACTTTTAACACTACCATAGTCTTTTTCTCTTTTTATGCAACTTTGAATGGTATAAATATTTAAATTGGTCTTATAAAAAAGGGTAATATAATTGCTACAAAAAAATTAAACATGTTTGATAGCCTGTACGAGTTATCCCTTCCAGTCTTAAAATTATTTCTTACATCATATTCACTTTCTCGGTATGCCTTTATTCCTTAAAAGGATGTACATGTTCTACGAATCCACGATGAACACTACACATTTCTAAAAGGCAAAGACATCATGATCAAATATTAGATGTAATCTTTTAACCATATGGCCTAGTTTATAATGTGAAGGGGCTTATTGTGGTCATGTATTGTGGATGAATCACTGTTATTGCTAACAATACGTTGGTCCTATATAGAAACCTTGTCCTCAAGGTTTAGTAGATTACGCTTAGTTTGGGAGTATTGGGCTTGTTGGGATGGGTAATGTTGTTTGTGCGAGGAGGGTTAGCATGTCGGCTTGTTGTGCTAGCCCAAGCGATGTAGGGACTCGTCGGTGAGACGTTAGGGTGTGATGGGTCTCTTGTGTTTCATGTGATGGGCTTGAGACATACGCCTGGATGCAGATGTGGGAAATATGCAACTGGGCCGAGGAGGAGAGGGGTGGGGAGACATTTTTTGGTGGGATTGGGCCAAGGAGGAAGATGTAAAACACTAAGCATCAGGTTAGATTGATGAGAACAGTAGAAAAGGGGAGAAAAATAAGACTAACTCAAATTGTTTGAATTGAGAAAAATAAAGTGAAAAATAAATAAAGATGAGTAAAAAGATTATAAATAATAAGATTGATTTGATTGATTAAAAAAATTAAATAAAAAGATAAAATAACGAATAACTAAAATATTCTTGTAAATTTTAATAAAAATAAATATAAATTATAATTGAGATTTGATTTAATATAATATAATTATTTTTAAAAAGTAAAAAAGTTATATAAATAAAATTAATTTAATTTATATTATTGAAAATTTTGTGATCTTTTGTAAATGTATTTAAATTTTATTTTATTTTTATAATAATTTATAAGTAATATTTAAAATATAAAATATTATTTAAAAAGTATAGTGTAATTATTTTTTATAAAATTTAAATTATTAAATATATTATTTTTTATTTTTTAATTTAATAAATTTGTATTAAATGACTTTCAATTTAATAAAATTGTATATTATATTATCTAGTTTATTCTTTAAAAATGAGAAGAATTATGTTATATAAATGAAAAATGATTTGTATTGCTAGATAAACTTGAAATGTAGCTCTTTCCATAGAACTCTCAAACTATCACACATAACCATTATGCCAAGACACTTCTCCTGTCCAATATATAACAATACATAATTGTTTATATAATTTATTATTATTATTAAAATATCATAAAATATTATGATATATAAATAAATCAATCTTAATAAGAGTAATTAAGACAAAATAACACTTTGGTTAATTTTCTTATTAAGTCTAAGTGAACGTGGGATTGAGTCCATAGCTCCATTTCATATTAATTTCCTTGATTCAACAAAACACCTTAAAGAGTTACAAAATTTATAGACAAGTTTTTGTTTGGTGACCAAAAATCAATTATGAGGGCAATTTTGAGTTAATGCAACAACGAGTTTGTTGTTACAAAGATGCATATAAGGAGGTGGTATTGGTAGATTCAACATGTAATCCAATATGTTATGTAGAGGATGATCATAGAAGGCATGTAAAAACACTATTTTAATTGTCAAATGGAAAGAGGAGTTATACAGAACTATGTCAAATATAAAAATTTGTACCATGATGCGGTGTTTAGAAATAACTTAAGTAAACTTCACTATTTTGATTGATTATTTTTTATTGACAGTTCATTTGTAGGTGGTAAGCTATGATAAATTTTACCTATGTGCTTTATAATTGAAAGTATTTGCACCAAACTAATTAACAAATAATAGATCATGATTGGAGATGATTGATCTTGGAATGCCAAGCAACCACCAAATCTTGACAAAAAAAAAATAGTGAACAAAAGTGGTAGCAATTAAGGAGGTTGGCAAAGCTAGAGAAATTGGTTGATGTAGATATTATGTTGCAAAAATTCCTTATCTATGAGCAAAACATGAAGGAAAATGTGTAATAAAATTTGTGGTTAGGTTATCTCAAACTAGGTATGAGGTGGAAAGAAGTATCAGGAGACCAATTTTTTATTGGTTTATTTTGTTGGTAGAGAAGTTATTCCTAATAAATAGATTGGTTCTCGTTACATTAAAAGGAATTGCTACTTGGGTCATCATGACTTTGATACCTAATTGTCATTGAATGGTGTGATAATCTATTCAAATCATATAATGAGAAATGGAGTAAGAGGGAGAAACATATGTTGATGCAAGTAAAGGAGGTATGAGTAGGAGGTTGATGGTAAGATTGTGCATTTTGAGACTAACTTTTTTTCATTTTGTTGTTGTGTAATAATGCTAAAGATTTTAAATGATGGTAGGAATAAGAGATAAGTTGGGCAAAATGAGTATATTTGGTGATGGTTGTCTATGGAACGTATTTGTTGCTTGGTTGCCTACTGTTGTTGTTTTGGTTTATGGAAATTGAAGTTAAGAAGAATTTTTAAACTTTGTTGGTTTGTTAGGATAATAAGATATTTTTCATTTCATGAGATTCAAAATCTCAATTTAAATAGATTTTATTTTTTTTATATTACTTTTTCTTTGAGTTGATTTCTAACTTATATTGTGTTTTTTCTAGATTGATCTCCAACCTAAGCATAAAGTCAATCCTACTTTTAATTGTGATCTATCTCCTTTTTGTAGGGCTATTAATTATGAATATGATTTGGATATAAGGACAAATCCATTTTAAGAGGGAGAGTATTATCGAAAAATATTTGAGGAGACACATTTCAATTCGTCCATCTCCATGGAGAACCAAACTACAAGTGTGGTTAAGTCATGGAAGAATAGAAAATGAAGTTACAACTTCTAAAAATTATTAAAAATAAATTTGAACTTTGAATTTCATTTTCCATCTATGAAAATTGAAGTTCTGAAAACAAGGAATCTAATAGAACATGAATCAACTATAAACAACATTTATAGAGAAAATTACGATCAAAATAATTGACAAAGATAAACTTAGAAAATGAAATTAGAGTTACTGAAGTCCCACATTCACTAAAATAGGTCAAAATTAGACTAAAATACTTGAAAGGAACTTCCACCATATACATTTTTAAATCCTACATTACTTGGTTCATGATCTACAAAGAAGAAAATTAATTATAAATAAAAGCCTCTTGCACCTTGTTTTGAAACTTTGATGGATAATGAAAATTAAACTTGCTTATTGTTTATCATCTTATTCTTTTAAAGTCAAAATGAAAACAATCTTTTTCTAGTTCTACATCAAATAACCTTTTTTAGAAAAATACAAATAAAGTTCCTTAAGAACATAATAATTTTAAATAATTTTATCACTCTGATATTAACTAAGCTTAATTTAGATAATTTTAAAATATTTACAGGTAATAATTTTGATTAACTTATCTTTAAAATACATTTTACCAAAATTTCATTTTTATTGATAATCATAACATATTATAATTAATTTTAATTAATATAAGTATCAATTAAGGTATTTCATAATTTTTGGATTTAGGGTTTTAATAAAATAATTTCCTGTAATTAAATCCTTATAATTTTTTTGGATTTTCTACCTCTTTGTCCTTTTTATAATTCTCCCTAAGGTTATTGTGTACTTAAATTCTTGATTTTTTAAACTATTACTGTATATTGACAACACTGTGTCAGGTAATAATTTATTTTTATAAAGATTTGTATATTTTTTAAATCGACTACGAATATTTTATTACAACGATTTCAAATATGTCAACTTTATTCTAGAAATTTTATAATTAACTGATGGAATGTAAAGGTAGTTTTGATCCAATATTCAGACTTAAAAAGCATCAAAATGACGCATGTAAAAATAAAATCTAAATAAAATTGATCAATTTTGTTTAAATAAATAAGTTTAAAACAGATGGACCTATCTATTTTATAAAATGACAATATTTTTAAAAATAAAACTTAAAAAAATTATTATCTTTAAAATTAAAATTAATTTCATTAATATAATTTAAATTAAAAAATATTTTTTAATTAATTAATTAATTATTTTTATTTTTGTGATAAATTATTTTTACATAAATATATTATAATTTTTTATTTTATTTTAACTGGTAAAAAAATATCAGTTGAATAGTTTATTTAACGTAAAACTAAATTATCTTAAAAAATCTATTTAAAAATAAAAATTAGACAATATTGTCAACTTTATTCCTTCGTTATTAAATAAAAAATAGTTAAATTCTATATATATCAAATATATCTTATGATTTAATTGTTTGTGTTAAATAATTTATATTAATTCCATTAATAATAAATTTATTATATAATTATTAAAATATAAAATATTTTTAATTTGCCTAATAATATAAACATTAGTTCTAAATTTTAGGGTCTTATATTAGAAAACGATCAAACTTTCTTGGATGATATTAAACTAGCTTATATTAGAAATCAGTAATTAAAGTGTAATTCTAATCTTAATCGAATTTAATAACACCCGAAAACACGTAATATGATAACGCTATAAATTTTATCAATTAGAACACAAACAATCTTTGGGCATTATCGATCTTGCACAACAATTACTCAGAAATATTATTTTTTTCATAAAGAATAACTAATTTCTAGATCATGTTATATTTTTCTTAATCAATGTCACAAATTACAAACTCACGTGTGGTAATCACAATAAAAGCAACCCACACGGTTTTTTTTTTTCCTTATACATGCATAACTCAAACACAACAAAGTTAACATGGACTATGTTCTCTCTACCTTTTCATTCAAGTCAAGTCAAGGTCAAATTTCACAATTTCATACATATGTAATCTGTTCCCACGTGCATTATGCCCTGTCACGTGACATAAACGTATGTATATATACGCCTGCATCCGTGACGACACTGTTCTCACACGCACTGTTCTGAAACTGAAACAAACGTAGGTGCGTAGTAGTGAGTGGCGAGCGCGACAGTGGTTTCTGATTTTCCCATTTTCCAACGACAATGGTGAAAAACCTGAAACCCTAACCCTGAACCTCTTGCAACAAATTTGCCAAAGTCTTTTTCACGAACCATGGACTTCGATCACCACCTCACGGAGCTTTCCGCTTCCTCGCCATGCATTCCCTCCGGCGAGGATTTCCATTTCTACTTCAAATTGACCGAGTTCCGACGCCCGATCGAAGAAATAGCCCGGAGGACACAGTCGATGCTCGAGATAATCGGTTCCGCGGAGAATATTTGGGGCAGAGGCTCGGTATTTCCCGCTGACATCGACGATGCATACGAGTGGCTTGTGAACGCGAACGAAGACGTTTTGGAGCTGGTTGATGAGTTGGTGGAAGAGTTGCGGAGGATTAAGAGGGAGAAGGGACAGGATATTGAAAACGAGTTGGAGGCAAAGACGAAAGTGCCGTTTCATATACCGACGATTAGGAAGCCTCAGTATGCGTACAATATTGTGGTTGATAATGCAAACAAGCCTTTTGAGCATGTCTTGTTGGAGAAGAGTGAAGATGGTCAGCGGTTTATTCATCCACTGGTTCGTTCATTGCACCGAATTTCAACATTATTCTGTCTCTGTCCTGGTTTTAGTATTTTTGATGTTTTGCAGTTCGAAAAGTATAATTGATTTGGATTCAATTTTTAAAATGGGAATGAAAATATCGCTCTGGTTAACATCAGGTATGGGGTTACCATTTCTATTAAAGATAGTGAAAAGAGTGGGATTTAAAGATCCGCAGGCTGTTGTGTTTATCAATGGAGTTATTTCACGATAGGCTATTATCTTACGATTGAACACATGTTTGTTTTGGTAGTAAACACGGTTTTAAACTTGTGGTGTGTCCTTTATATCACATATTATAAGTGCTGACAAAGAACAAATACCTGAAAGTAAAGACGTATAAATAATAAATGATAGGAGCTAAAAAATTGAAGCTAAACACGAAACACATGAGGGTGAAACACCTGTTTCCCTTCAAATGGTTTTTTTATCCCTTTTGGGGTTTTGTCGCCTGTGTGGCAATGGCGGTTATTTCCACAACAATTGTGGGTTGTGACAACCATGTGAACCTTCTTCTGTAGCAGTCCACCAGTTCACAACACACAATCGCATTAGTGCTTCTATAGTGTGCTATTAAGTGCTTCTATTTTTGGTTATTTTATTTGGTTCTTCATATAGCATGCAGTAAAATCAACCAATGACAGTTGAAGCTCTTGTTTCAGCTAGAATATTGGGCTCCTAATTTGAGAAGGTTGCTTCCCTTTCACTGGACTTCTCGAAATAGCCTTCTCAATTAAGAGGAGGTAACTATGCAAGTTGAATGAGGTATTTCTTAGTAAAAGTGTCATAATTGGGATTTTTCCTGGGATTAGGAAAGGCTGTTAAAGATCCTAATTCATAAATCATAATACTGATTGTAATATCCTACCAAAAATATAAAATATATTTTAACATAAAAATATAAGAATATAATTAACTACTACACCTAATAATACCACATGCATCAAAATTCAAGGAAGATTTTATTTATTTATTTTGTAGTATTAACATATCAAATTATTTGATATTTGATATTGATTATGGAATGAGAGAAAAGAGTAACAAGGGAACATTATAGTGGAATTTGACCCTAAATAAATTTATATTGCACTATGTATATATGCTGAAAAACAAAAAAGGAATACCTATAAGTAAATATTATTCATAATGAAGAATCAAACTAGATACGAAAAAGAGATAGGTCTTTGAACATTATGGATTTTTTTTGGGAAAACTTGCAAGGAACCGATTGGTCAGTGCCTAAAAAGGAAGAAGCATTTTGCTGATGTTGAAAAGTCAATAGGCAACATCTAGAACTAGGCATAAGCATAATCAAATTGAATTGAGAAAAGTTGAGCAACAAAAGTTGCTTTACATAGGAAGAGGTCATAGGTGCTAGGGCGTAAAAGGAAGAACCAGCATTTTGCTGACGTTGGAAAGTCAATAGGAAACATCTAGAACTAGGCATAAGCATAATCAAGTTGAATTGAGAAGAGGCGAGCAACAAAAGTTGCTTTACATAGGAAGAGGTCATAGGTGCTAGGGAAAAAAGAACACAACGGAGAGTGACAAGAAACAAGTGAGAATGAATGGAAAATTTAGAGGATTTATTAAACACAACTCTTGATGTTTCCTTGTTGTAGTGGCCTCTCTATCTACTATTGGTTGTCAAGTGCACCGCTTTGCCCTCAACAGTTAGGTGCGATGTGATTGCCTTTGCAGGAGTGATAGGGTTTGACTATGCTCTAATGTATATGTGGTGCTATCACACATGATTAATGACCTCCAGATTCATATGAAGCCCCTAAATGCTTCAAAGACTTGAACAAGATTGAAAAGGGGTGGTTGTGCAATTCTTATAAACAAAGATGGATTTAGGGTTTACAATTTCTAAAGTCATTGCTTGTGTATTGTAGGACACCAAATATAGCCACAAAGAAGGTTCATTGAAGTCTTGTAAAGAGAATAAAGCTTTAGGGCCTTAAATTCCACAAAAATGGCTTTTCTCACTTTTCACATAACCCAACTCATGAAAGCTCATTGATCTTTCCTCGACAATTCTAACCACACTCCTATTGGTCAAACTAATTTTGTGGGGTCGAATTTGAACCAAACCCAAATTTCAAGATGGTATCAGAGTGTATCCTAGATCCATTGTTGGGTAACTTGCATTTGGCACATTCTCGGCTACAAGTCTTAGGCATGAGGGGGAGCGTTGAAAAGTCGCTTTAATTGCAATTACCCCTAGCCTACTTTAGTTGTATATTTTTTGGGGATTTCCTTAATTGCAACCTCAAAAGTGTTGGTTTAGATTTACATCAACTAGTGATATGGCTATAACATAGTTATAAGTGATGTGCAAATCCCACCTTACAAGCAAATTTTGTGAGGTTGAGTTAGATCCAAACCCAAATTCTAAAAGGATACTTATCAATTGGTATTATTGCATCAATCTTGGATTTATAGGTATTCTTCATAATTAATGCAAAACATTCAATAGTGGGCATGAAAATGGAGGGAAGATTGGAAACTATGTATAAGACATTAAAATCTGAGTCAAAATCAAGATAACACAGAGCCATATTATGAATGTTGACAACTATGACGGAACAAATCATATAACAAATGGATATGCAAAGGTAGTTAAGTTTGGAAAATAATAAATTGGAGGTAGGAGTTGACAAACATTGTCAACATTGGAGTGGGTTAGCTAGGAGTAGCCAAGATTTTAGAAAATATTGGAGATACTTTTGTTTAGTGGGGAGGATGATGCAAGGATTAGAAGAAGATTATGTGTTCTTGAATGTCATTAGGGAAGACTTAAGCATTGTTATGCAAACCAAGGTTAAAACAACCTTCATAAGAAATAAAGAACAAGGAAGCAACAAAAATGAGGGTATAAAATGGGATTAGATTGACAAATTACTATAGGTGTTTTGGATGGATGTGAAGTAATATGAATGATACTGTAAGATATCCCACATCAACTATAGATATGAATAATTTATAATATATAATTGAGGTGCAACTTTCACCTTATAAGTTGATTTTGTAGGGTTGAATTAAACACCTCTTTATTTTTAATATAGTATCAGAGTTTATCCTAGCCAGATTTGTTTGCCTATCAATCCACTCGTAATCGATCTATTAGTAGGTCATCCTTTAATATTCAGTTTTACACTCTCGAGATGTTTATTCCTTGGCACGAGGGAATGTGGTGGATATACCACATAATTAGGGATATAATAAACTTATGATATATAATTGAGGTGCAAACCTCACCTTACAAACCAAATTTATGCGGTTGAGTTAGACACCCCTCCATTTTTAATAGTTACCAACAAAAGTTTTACTTGAGGAAGTGAGGTCTATGGAGGAAGTGCAATTGTATGCCGAGTCAAATATTCCAATAATGAAGGGAATCAAGCAAGGGTGAAAAAAGAAAACATACAAGTTTGATAAATGCAAAAATGTGAGAAATGAGAAAGGAGAATGTTTTTGATGTAATGTGAAGTTTAGTACAAGATCATATATGCACAAACTTAGAGTCATGGTATTCATAGAGGAACAAGAAGGAAGTGGTAGAAGAAAGGGGGTGATAGTCCCGGAGGAGGAGGGGAATTTTAACTATCATTGCATAGTAGATTAGGATTTGCATCTAGAAGGTGGGAATGTCAAAGCAGGCTAAGCCCCATGGGTTGGCCTTAGGGGTGTCAAAGTGAGCCAACCCGGCTCACACGGGTTGAGCTGAAAATAGGTGAGCTCAACCCGGCTCACTTTTTGGCGAGCCAGAAATTTTACAACCCAGCTCAACCCACCACGGTTGGTGGGTTGGCTCACTAACCCATATTTTTTTAATTTTTTAAATTATATAAAAACTTCGGATGTAGAAACTTATGTTTTCTTCCTTTCTTTCTCAACATCAGTATCTTCGTTATTAACTCGAAATTGACTCATTGAGTTTTTCATTAATAATAAAATCATCATCAATACAATTTACATTGACGCTTTGATATATTGTTTCAAATTCCATACTGTAAATTAATTTAAAAGAAAGAAGTCAAAAATTCATATATTAAAGAGATATACGTATAAATCAATAACAAACAACAAATAATGTATAGATGCTACAATTTTCAAATAAAGATTCATCAATCCAATAGATTAAGTTATGAAACAAATTTTTACCTTTGAAAGCAATACACTGGTTTAAGTTATGAAGCAAATTCTTACCTTTGAAAGCAATACAATGGACATGGTGTAGTGGTGCGGTGGACAGATAATAAGACAAGTGACCAAAGTGCAGCGACAAACATAATGGTGCAGCGAACAACTAATAACAAGTTTAAGTGAGGGTTTGGCTTGTGGCGACAACCAACAATGTAGGGTAGAGGTAAGACAGGATAACATCAATTAGGGTTACTAAAGTATTATAATTATTTTAAAAATTTAAAATAAATGATTAATTAAGGTTAATATGTTATTATAATTATTTTTAAAATTTAAAATTAATGGTGGGTTGCGGGCCAACCCACTATAACCCGGCTCAAACCCGTTTAACCCGTGGGTTAAGTGAGCCGGGTTCATTTTTAGCCCATAATCGGTAGAAATAAAAAAAATCGAACCCAACCCGGCTCGAACCTGTGGTGAGCCGGGTTGGCTCACGGGTTAGAACCCATATTGACACCCCTAGTTGGCCTGCCAACCAACCTCAAATTGACAAGCCAAGTTGACATTTTTAGCCTGTCATCCCTCTTTGACCTATGCCACTTACTCTGCCATCCTGTCGATCTAAAGGCGGGGCCAGGCAGGCTGTCCCATCAGCTTGTTTTTTTAATACATACATATATATATATATATATATTAAAATTAAATAAAGCGAATTATAATTTAAAGGATACAATTTTTGTGTAATATGTTTGAATATGTAAATATAGAATAATATCTTAATTTAAATTATAACTATTTACTAATTAAGCTTAAATAATTGATTCTCTTAATTTATTCGTAGAAGATATTAATTAACGTTTAAATAATTTGAAGTTATTCATATAATCATGTATATCTTAAATTTTTTTATTTTTAAATATATAATACCTTTCTTATAAAAAAAAGTTAGTGGGTTGTCCTGTAGTCTATTAGCCCCCTCATTGGTAGGGCAGGTTAGGATTTACATCTCGTTTTAACTATGGTGAGTCAGCCTAATCCAATTATGGTTGACCTAAAAGGTTGAGTGAATCATCACATAATACAACCACTTAGATGTCAGCTCCTAAGGGTAGGTGATTTGGATATTATGGGGTGCTTGTCCACATTGTGCTAGTATGGGATGCTAGTTGCCTAAGTGCATGGGTGCTCATCATCTATGTATGCACCATAACAAAAATCTTTCATAAGTTAGGTAATGTTTTCTTGATTGGGTACAATTGAGTTTTTGTTTAAAGCTCGTTTACTCAAAAATCAATTCATATATTGTGCATAAAGCTTCTTGTTTGACCGTTGTTTTTTTTCTCTTTAATTTTATTAGTTCAAGTAAATTAATACCCACTTTGTGTGACAAAACCTTAATAATGCATTGCATAATTCTTCATCTATTCTTTCATAGTAGTATTCTATAATAATTAGTTTATATTTCAGGAGAAATTATCTGTTTTGGATTTTGTTGATAAAGAAAATATCGAGAATCTTGTGCCAGTAAAGCCTCCCTCAGTAGAATGCACCCCTTTCAAGCTTGTGGAGGAAGTCAAAGGATTGAAGGAGTTGGCTACTAAGCTGTCTTCTTTGAATGAATTTGCGGTATACCATAAATGTTGTTATTATATTTACTAAAAAGCTTCCTTCATTTATAGTACTAGATTCTTGTTTCTGTGGCCTCATTGTACATTTGCTTTAGAGCGTTTACATTATTCGTTAGTAAGACCTAGTTACAGCAACAAATTATTGTCTCTAATATATGAAGCTGCAATTGTTCACAATACATAATAAAAAATTGTGTATTCACTTAAAATCTTGTTATTAAGCTGCACAAAGGATACATGTCTTAGTATTCCGATATTTATACCTTTGTTTTGTTTCTGTTCCAATTAAACTAAAGAATTCTGTTGAAAGTCCCACATCGCCTGTCTCATGTCATTTGGTATGATTTAAATACATGTTAGACTACTTCACATATTGCTAATTGGTTTTATGTTGGAACCTTAACATGGTGTCAGAGCCAAAGTTTAACATCTTTCCAGTTATTGTCTTGGGCCAAGAGTTGCCCTTTCGTTGTGGGTCAAAAGTACTCTTTGCCTAGTCCAACAGGCTTTGTTGGAGGGGGCGTGTTGAAAGTCCCACATCGCCTGCCTCATGTCATTTGGTATGGTTTAAATACATGTTAGGCTATTTCACATATTGCTAATTGGTTTTATGTTGGAACCTTAAGAAATTCCAATGAATAGAATTTCAATTCTATTGTGAATCGAATATTTATTGATTGGCTACCACAAACTCAATATCCCCATCATGGTGGATAATAAGCATAATTGTACTAATAGTTGTGCTCTTCCTCATGCAAGAGCACAAAATATGATTTTATTATTTATTTTATGTACCTTCCCTTCTTTTTCAAGGATGTTCTTTGTGCTTAGTGTAGGAAACTAATTGAAAGTAGTATACCAAAATTATTTGTGCTCTTTCCTCTAATCGTTATTGAAGTGTGTTTGGTATTGTTTTGACCAATGTAGTCAAAATCGCTTTCCAACTGTTAGAATCACACTATTCTATGTTTCTGTCCTTCCTTATTGAGTTGATCCATGCTCAAAATCAATAGACTTACAATGTAAAATTGTAAGAACGGTGGAAATAGAGAGTTTTTCGAGTTTGTCTGTGTTAGAATAAGTCTTAAATAAGTTATACTGAGAGCTATTTTAGTGTTGTACCTAGGAACTAGATGTGTCTTTTCTTATTCCCTTCTCTCTCTCATTCATTGTATATGGATTACCCTTTTATTATAAATATGTGAACCTAAGAGAGGGAAATCAAGCCTCTCAAATATATTTCTTTTTTCCATTTTATTTATCTGAAGTTGGTATTAGAGCAGGTCAATCCTGTTTTGCCTGACTTTGTCTTATCTGACGTGAAAAACTCTGTTTGGTCACTGTTTGCTGCCATTTGATTCACCGGCTCCTTCTGGGCATGTTTTTGTCTATGGTTCACCATTCCACATTGTTCTGTACTGTTTTATACTATTTTGGATTGTTTCATACTATTTGGTACTGTTTCAACTCCATTTTGCATTGTTATGACATTGTTTCGCACTATTTTGATGCTACTCTACATTGTTCCTTTGCACTGTTCTAGTATTGTTTGGGTATTTTCAACACAGTTTGGATTGTTTTTCTTTTGTCCTTGTCTTTACCCTATTTCAACAATATCTTCATGAACTACTACCTCCTTTTTCGGAAATCCTATAACTTTTGAGAAACTAAATGAAAAAAACGATTTATCTTGGTCAGTTTAAATTGAACTTTGGTTCCTTGGTTAGGGTTACTATTATTACTTAAAAGAAGATGGAAGTCAAATACCTCTAGACCAAGCTCGACAGTAGAAGAAGACTGATTTTAAGCTTTGTGGTTTATTGTGGCAATTAGTGGAGCCCAATATTCTGAGCACCCTTAGATAATTTAGAACCTGTAAACTCTTTATGGAAAAAAGGTTTAAAATATCTTTGCAAATGATTTCCAACGCCTAAATGATTTTGCTAATCGATTGACTTCTCTCAAGCAAATTGATAATTACATGATGACGTTTATTGTTGAAGCTCAATCAACAATTGAAGAATTGAAGATGTTTATAGAAGTTGATTTAGTAGAAGAGATAAAAAAGATGTTGGATAAGTTTTGTATGGTTATGATTTTCCATGCTCTAAATCGAAAATTTGATCATGTTAGGTAGCAAATTTTAACTAGTGTAGAAGTTCTTTCTATGGAAAGTTTGATAACACGATTCCTTTATGTTCTAACTCTAATAGTAGAAATATTCAAGAATTTGCTGAGTTTTCTACTCTTACTCAGGTAAGAGGTAGTCGTACCACTAGAGGAGGACATGGTGATATAAGATGTCTTCAAGCCACTCATTGTAAAAAAAGGAAAGGAATATTAGGAATACAAATTTGCATGACTTTCCTACCAGACAACTAAAATTTCCAAATTTGAATTTTTAAATCAAAGTTCATTAATGAAGAATATCAGGAATACATGAGGTGAAATCCAATAACCTAACACAATCATCTATAACTCCCAATTTGTCAACAACATGCATTTCACAATATGTGAAGAGTCAAAATCCATGGACAATTAGGTACTTCTGATTATATTTCTGGTAATACCTCTTTGTTCTGTCTCTCTCCTTTCCTAAAATGCCTCATTTCATAACCCTAACCAATGGATCTAATGTAATTTCTCAAGGAATTGATCAAGTTTTCTCTTTCTCCTTTAAACTTAAAATTTGTTGTCTTTGTTTCTACTTGTCCCTTCAATCTTATTTCTTTAAGTTAATTAACCAAATCATTGAATTGTTCAGTAATCTTTGATACCAATTATTTTGTTATATAGGAATGTGGTACAACTCAAATGTCTAGAGGCTTATACTACCTTAGTAATAACTTATATGTGTCTTGTGTTGCATCATCTCCTCCTAAACTACTACATGAATGCTTAGGTCACTCTCACTTGTTAAAAATTAAAGAAGATGGTTCTGGAACTACTTCAAGCTTTAGAATGTGAATCATGTCAACTAGGAAAACATGTTAGGTCTTTTTTTCTTAGACATTTCAAATCTAGATGTAACTTTGTTTTTTCTATAATCCATTTTGGTATTTGGGAGTCAAGCTGTGTCTCTTATTTTTGTTTTAAATATTTTGTAATTTTTGTTCATGCGTATTCTAGATGCACTTGGATTAATCTTCTATAAGATTGTTCTGAACTTTTCTGTATCTTTATGTCTTTTCTTAATGAAATAAAAAATCAAATTAGCAAAGTAATCAAAATTCTACAAGTGATAATGCCAAAAAATATTTTTTTTTCTTTGATATTTCTACTGCATTAAACTCACATGAGATTTTACACCAATTTACTTGTCCTCATACACCTTAGCAAAGTGAAATATAGCATAAAGAAAGAATAGGCACTTAGTTGAAATTGTTCGTTCTTTATTGCTTGGTTCAAATATGTTTGTCCACCATTGAGGTGTTGATGACGTCACTATCTATTTTCTTATTAACAAAATGCCTTCTTCACTTTAAATTAAAGTTTTGTACTCCATTTTATTTCCAAAGGAGCCCTTCTTTTATATTTCTCGTTGTGTTTTTGCTTGTAAGCTTTGTTCATGATATGTCTCTAGGTTTAGACAAACTCTCAATTAGAGCAATCAAATGTATCTTCTTAGGATATTATCACCTTCAAAAAGGATATCGATGATACTCCTTTGAACCAAAGATGTACTGTATGTATGCTAATGTCATCTTTTGCATCATCCTCTTTCCTTCCTTTGATCAAGATATACATTTTGTTGAACATGTTTTACTTGTGCCATCTGGTGAGTCTTTTGTTCCTCCTGCTCCTATTGCCCAAAACTCCATTCAAAATCCGCCCGAGCCATTGCCACCACCACTTATTATCTATCAACACAAAAATTGATGACTAGTCCAATGTCCCAAGGTGAGTCATCTTTAGCAAGTACTTTTCAATCATCGCTTAATACCACTACTACTCATAAGGATGACTCAAGTTGACTAATTGCCATTCCTAAAAGTACTTGTTTTACTCGTAATCCACATCCTATTTACTATTTTCTTAGCTACCACAGACTGTTTCCTTCTTATTTTTTTTTATTTCTTCTATATCTTCTATTACTATTTCTAAAAATGTGTCAGAAACATTTGATTATCGTAGATGACAACAATTCATAGTTTTTGAAATGACAGCTCTTGAACACAACAATATATGGGAGTTAGTTCCTCTTTCATCTAGGAAGAAAATAGTTAGTTGTCGATTGGTGTATGCTATTAAAGTTGGACCTAATGATGAAGTTGATCGTTTGAAAGCTTGACTGATAGCCAAAAGGTACACTCAAATCTATGGGCTCAATTATAGTGATACTTTATCTCTAGTGGCCAAAATGACTATTATGCTACTTTACCCTGCCATGGTAACTTTGTGTCATTGAACTCTTTCTCAATTAGATATTAAAAATGTTTTTTTATAGGGCGATCTAGAAGAAGAGGTCTACATGAAACAACCTCTTGGGTTTGTTGCTCTGGGGGAGTTTAATTTAGTTTGTAGATTGCATTGCTCTCTCTATGGTTTCAAGTAATCTCCACGTGGCTAGTTTAGAATGTTAAGTCACATTGGCCAAACCTTTGAGCTAAAACATAGGGAGGCAAATCATTCCATTTTCTATTTTCATACCTCCCTTGGAAAATGTGTGCATTAGTATATAGTCATTACAGCGAACGATGTTGCTAAAATTTCTCAACTAAAGGAACACCTATGCAATCATTTTTAGATCAAGGATCTTGGGAATCTTAAATATTTGTTGGGCATTGAAGTAGCCCAATCAAAGAAAGGTGTTATAGTTTCTTAAAGGAAATATGCTCAAGATATTATAAGAGAGACAAGTATGATTGATTGAAAACCTATAGATAGTTCTACGGATCCAAATAGAAAATTAATGGTAGAATAGGGTGAAACTTTCTCTAATCCAAAAAGATATAGAAGACTCGTTAGAAAACTTATTTATCTTATTATTACTAGATAAGATTTATCTTTTGCAATTGGTGTTGTGAGTCAGTTCATGCAAACTCCTTGTATTGATTATTGGAATGTTGTCATCCGAAATCTAAGATACCTCAAAAAGACTCCAAGACAAGATCTAATTTATGAAGATAAAGGAGATACACAAATCTTTGGGTATTGTGATGTTGATTGGACAAATTCTCCTATGTACATACACTACTACATGATATTGTGTCTTTATTGGAGGAAATATTATCTCTTAGAAAAACAAGAGACAAAATGTTTTTGCTTGATCAACTGTTGAAGCTGAGTATAAGACAATGACATCTCTCACTCTGTTTGTATGGATAAAATAGTTCCTCAAAGAATTTGATTTTTGTAAGATTAAGCAAATGAAGATAAACTGTCATAACCAAGATGCTCTTTACATTGCTTCTAATTTAGTGTTTCATGAGAGGACTAAATACACAAAAATTGGTTGTCATTTTATTCGAGAAAAGTTGTTTTCCAAGAAAATTTGTATTGAGTTTGTCAGATCTAATGATCAACTAGCAATTGCATTAACAAAATCATTGAAAGGACCTCATATTGAATTTATTTGTTCCAAGCTTAGTACATAAATTCAAATGCTCCTACTTGATGGGAAGTGTTAAATAAATCTTAAATAAGCTTTATTGAAAAGATGTTTTAGGGTTATACTTAGGAACTAGATATGCCTTTTCTTATTCCCTTCTTCTCTCTCATTTATTGTATATGAGCTGCCCTTCTTACTATAAATATGAGAACCTAAGAGAGGGAAATCAAGCTTCTCAAATATATTTCTTTTCCATTTTATTTATCTCAAGTGCTTGAATTATGTTTTTGTGAGCCAACTTTTGGTAGTGGGTCAAGTTTCTTTCTTTTTCCTTTTCATTTTGGGCTTTCGTAATCCTAATCCCATAGAACCCAAGCGCCAAAACAAACTTTTCTAGAACCCCAACACTAATTATAGAGGAAACTATTCCAGTAACCCAAACCCCAAAACAAACTTTTCCCGTGGCACTATTATATTACTTTAAGTTGCTTTGTTTATCATTTATGACTTGTGATTTGAGTTTTGTATGGTGTTTAGTAATTGACTTTTATATGCTTTTTAATCTATGATTATAAATTTAAGCTTAATTAAATATTTGGTGTTTTAAATGGGCTTTTTTTCCTCTTATTTATGTTATGGTATATATATATATATATATATATATATATATATATATATATATATATATATATATATATATATATATATATATATATATATATATATATATATTATAGAATCTTAGTTTCATGTTATGATTTCACAATTTACAATTTTGCATCCCCTTTCCGAGTCTAAGTAAAGTCTCAAGTTTAACTACGTTGGTGTTGACTGATTAGCAGTACGCATTATTGTGGCTGTGCTCAACAAATTACATATATTAATTATATCAATTGGCTTATTTTATTTGAGAATGCGTATAGACCTAAACAACAAGTCATAAGCTAGCCTTTCAAGCTTATTGGCATCTGCCTACATGAAAAATAACCAACTATTACATCTCCTTCTTTTTTCTGGTGTTTAGCTTTCTGAAGATGTGGGGTTGTTATGGTTGTTAGTGTGTGCTCAGCTTGTATCACCTATATGACTCTCATTTTTCTGCATAGATTTATGTTTCACTGCTTCTTGTTTTTTTTTTTTTTTTTCTTTAAGCTGTTATTTTCATATATCATGTTTTGATATTCTTTTGTATCTATTTTCAAATTTGTTATTGTCATCTAAATGTTATTTGTTGTTTATGCAGAGAATTTAATTATAGTCTGTATTCACATTTTGGATACTTCCTTTTGTCCCTTTGTTTCAATGTATTTTTTTGACATTTTTATCTTTGACTTGGAATGATAAGGTGGATTTGGAGCATAATCATTATCGGTCTTTCCAAGGTTTGACTTGCTTGATGCAAATCTCAACCAGGACTGAAGATTTTGTCATAGACACTCTGAAGGTTCGTAATCATGTTGGGCCATATCTGAGAGAAGTCTTCAAGGACCCTACCAAGAAAAAGGTCAGATGCACATTGTTGATGTTTCTTTAATTCATCCAACTTGCTTCTTTTTGTTGACTTTATTTATGGTTAAATAGGTCATGCATGGAGCAGATAGAGATATTGTGTGGCTGCAACGGGATTTTGGCATTTATGTTTGTAATATGTTTGATACTGGCCAGGTTTGTTTGTACTCAGGATGATCAGAATTGAAATTGTTTTTCTTGTTAGTGATCAAGGAAATGAAATTGTACGATGAATTATATAATTGGTACCGTATTGTTTTTATTAGAATACTTTATCTTGATAGTATAGCTTAACTTGTTTTGATAGGTTTACTTGTCTGCCTAAAAAATGTTGTTTTTACTTGCTAGCATCAGTTAATAGATATAGCCTTTTCCTTGCACTCTATAATTTTGATGTAAATTTCTTCTATAAATAACATGGAGTAACTAAGATAATTAATCTCTCAAACTTTTTCTCATTTTAACTTTCAAGTTGTTATCAGAACGGACAAATCTTGCTTTGCCTCCTCACATTGTTGGATCATCAAGAGAGTTAAAAAAGATTTATAATTTAGTGGGATACATCACTCCACTCTATGATCTCATATATATATATATATATATATATATATATATATATATATATATATATAGGATTACAACATTTAAAAAACAACCATCAACTACCAACTACTAACCACTACCTAATAATAATTCTAACACTCCCCCTCAAGCTGGAGCATACAAATTGTATGTGCCAAGCTTGGAACAAATAAATTCAATTCGAGGTCCTCTCAAAGACTTTGTCAACACATCTGCAAGTTGATCATTGGACCTAACAAATTCAGTGCAAATATCTTTAGACAACAATTTTTCACGAATAAAATGACAATCAAGTTCTATATGTTTGGTCCTTTCATGGAACACCGGATTAGAGGCAATGTGGAGAGCTGCTTGATTGTCACAATACATCTTCATCTGTTGGATCTCACAAAATTTCAGTTCTTGAAGGAATTGTTTCACCTACACTAGTTCACAAGTGAGAGACGCCATTGCTCTATATTCAGCTTCAGCACTAGGCCGGACCATTACATTTTGTTTCTTGCTTTTCCAAGAAATATTGTTGCCTCCAATGAGAACACAATATCTTGTAGTGGAGTGTCTGTCTATAGGGGATCCAACCCAATCAGCATCACAATACCTAGATATTTGAGTACTCCCTTGATCTTCATACAACAGACCTTGTCTTGGAGTCTTTTTGAGATATTTTAGGATGTGAACGACAACATTCCAATGATCAATACGCGAATTTTGCATAAACTGACTGACAACTCCAACGACAAAAGATAGGTCAGGTCTGGTAATGGTGAGATAAATGAGTTTCCAACAAGTCTTCTATATCTCTCAAGATCAGAGAGCGGTTCATCCTGATCCGCCATTAATTTTTGATCTGGATCCATAGGACTGTATACTGGTCTACAATCAATTATGCTTGTTTCTTTCAGGATATCTAAAGTATACTTTCTTTGGGAGACTACAATGCCTTCTTTTGATTGAACCACTTCAATCCCTAGAAAGTATTTGAGACAACCAAGATCCTTAGTTTGGAAGTGATTGTATAAGAAATGGTGTCCTCACTTGAATGGGTCAAACAGTTCCTTCAAGAACTAAAATTTTGAGATTCAACAAGATGTATTGTGATAATCATGCAGCTCTCCACATTGCCTCTAATCTTGTAATGCTTAAGAGGAACAAAAATAGAACTTGATGTAATTTTATTAGAGGGAACGCCAAATTCAATCTCTATATTCCGAGCTTGACACATACAATCTTTATGATCCGGCTTGAGGAAGAGTATTAGAATAGTTTATCTTGATAGTATAACTTGTTTAAATAGGTTAACTTGTCTGCCTAAAATAGCTGTTTTTACTTTCTAGCATCAGTTACCTTGTTGTAGCCTTTTTCTTGCACATATTTTGTAATTCTGATGTAATTTTCTTTTATGAATAAAATGGAGCGGCTGAGAGATAATTAATTTCAAGCTCCTTTCTCATTTTTCACTCTCCGGTGTTGCTTGTATAAAATAGTTTATCTAGCTAGTGGATATTGGCTCTGCATGTACAGAAGGGTGCATGTAAAACATTTGCAGAAGTAATTTCTGTTTCACCTGGGGAATTTGTCATGTAAACTGTGATTCTCATGCAAACCATCCTGAAGGCTTAAGTTGTTGGGTGAAAGCATGTGAATTGTTTTATTTCTTGAAATTTTTATCCAATAAAAATTAGCTTCATAAATATACTTAAGAATTGTGATTAATGTTGGATGAGTTTGTTTTCTTAGAGTAATAAGATGATTATTTTGCTGTGCGGTCTTGGAGAAAATCTGGAAATAAGCCCTGTCTTGAGATCAATGTCAGCTTTGCTTGTGTTTAGCTTTTTTTCTTGCTTGTCTGATCTAATGACTATGAGTTTCTTTTGAATGGCAGTTTATATTAATGTTCTGAGACATGTTTGTAGGATTTTACATTATACTTATGTTATCCTTGTATGTTTACTAGATTAAAGTTTAGCATAACCCTGAAAATATTTCAGTGCTCAGCTTTTCATGCATCCATATGTGTTGATATATTCTATTACATTATGAAATGTCAAAACAAACTTCAAAGTTCTATTGCTTCTGATCATCCCTGTCATAATCCATTTTCATTGATCGCATGCTGGGAATTCATTGTGTAATCTTCTATTCTTTTTGTCAAACAGGACTAATGTATACTTGAATTTTGTTGCTCAGGCTTCTAGAGTGTTAAAGTTGGAGAGATATAGTCTGCAATATCTTTTGCAACACTACTGTGGGGTTACTGCAAACAAGGAGTATGCTGTCTTCACTTTTTGGACTTATCTGCTGCTTCAAGTGTCTTTCTTAATTCTTAACTCTGGAAGCTTTATAATTTCCTGTGGAATAACTATTCCTTTTATTCTTACGAACATTATGGAAGGATGACAAGTCAACTCCTTGCAGATACCAGAATGCAGATTGGAGATTACGCCCTCTTCCCGATGTGATGCTGAGGTGTAACTATTTTAAACTTATCACATTTAATGCACACTTGATTCTTCCTGTGGTTTAGTTTTTGGCCTGTTTTCTATTCTTTTGGTAGTATTGGCTTTTTGGATGTTTATTATTTTAATTTATTATCCAATAATAAACACAAGTATGTAATCCAGGTTTTTGGGGACAGGTCTAATAAGTCGGGTTGTTCATTGTTCTATGCTGGGGCTTATCTATAGTTCACCTTAGACCAAGAGTTTGGCATTTATTTTAAGCAGAATAAGTTGTGATCATGTCGGCATCAAGTTTTAGTCAAGAGTTACCACCCGTAAAACTCAAGGATTCAGTGAGCCTAAAACGAAACTAAGACCCCACAAAATATATAAAATTCATATATATGTAGCCATAGAGGTTTTGGCTTAAACCCATGCCCAACTAAGAAAAGGTCAAAATGTAGGTTTTGGTTTTCTTTTCACGTGATTACGGAACATAAGGATTTCAATGTCAATGACAGTTCTCCTTAGCAACATGCATTGATGCCATAACTCACTTTTATCTTTCATTGGGATACTTTCTCTTTCATTGTGATTGTTTTTCTCTGAACGTTGTCTCTTCCTCATAAACATCTTCGATTCCCACCGAGGTATTTACCTCTTCTCTTTACATATATTGCATTTATGAACCAAAACGCAGAATCACCATGTTCTTTTTCTGCAAACAGTTTCGTGCATTGCTTATTTTGTCTCCTTTTGAAGTTTCATTTTTTCACAAATCATTATAATGGCTTCCAGTGTTGGGCTTGTAACCCTCCCTCTAGTGATGTTGCTATTTGTCAACAATGCCAGTCCTTCCTCACAGAATGTTTGCTCTAAGAAAGTGGCAAAAAATGTTTTGAGTAGTAGAAAAGACTTGGCTTGGAAGCATGGAATATGTATTGATGGAGATTCAAGACAAAGTTAATGCAAATTTTGTCAAACGACCATGACAGGAGGTGTCCTTTGCTTGAAGCACCACTTGGGGGTAACTCTAAAGGATGTAATTTTTGGAAAAGTATGAGTGAAGAAGTAAGAAAGGAAATGTTGGAGGGGTTGTGGTTCTACAACAAAGATTAATGAAAAAACAAAGGTTTGATATTGAGGATAATGATGTAGAAATTGAAACAAGTAAAAGGATCGAGCAGGTGGACAGCACTATAAGTATTTTTAAGAAGAGGACAACAAATATTAATTATTTGTATAGGTATATATCTCATATTTATGTAGGAGTAGAATCTATGATTTATGTTACGATCCCGTTATTTATGATCTTGTGAGTCCCTTATGATCCCAACCATAATCTCAATTTTGACTATGTTGGATTCAACTAGTACCTTGATTGATTTATTAACTAGTTCGGTTTTTAAAACATCGGTATTGAGTGTTAGTTGTTAAGAGAAGTTTTGAGTAAGTCTTTGGAATAGGAATTTGTTTACATGACTTGTATCTAGTTTGTACAAGACTTGTATAGACGTGTGGTACCAAGAGTGTGAGATCTCTTGGAGGCGAGACTAAGGACATTAATAATAGATTTATATTGATGCTCAACCTTGGGTTTGTACTTTAATGTCTTGGATGTGCTTAACAATGATATATATAAAAGATTAAACTTGAGTTTTGGAGACAGACATTGGAATCAAAGGCTCTTGAGCGGTTAAGTATAAGACGAAGTACATGCATTGCAAATTTAGCAAGAAACAGGAGGAAAATAGCATGGGAGGAAAAAACTTGCGGAAGATGTCATTCCACGTGTTTTTAAGTATATGGAGATCGATAATGATGGGAAATTTAGGACTTGTCGGTTTACTGTTTTTAAAAACAGTTTTCAGTTTTTTCGTTTTTAAAAAACTTGTTTAATAACTATTTTGTTAAAATAGTTGTTAAAAACACGTTTTGATTTTAGTTTTAAAAAACCAAAACAACAAAACTGATAAGCAACTTTTTTTTTGTAATCAATATCATCCGCTTTTATTTAAAATAATTTTCAAATTAGAGTTATCAAATATTTTTTTTTTCTTTTCAACTTATTCTCAAAATTAGTTCTTCAAAATTGATCTCTAAAACTGTTGCTAAAAACTAATAAGCAAAAGTAAATCAAACAAAACCTTAATGAAATCAAACATAGTATACGTGTTTAGAATGGAGAAAGGCGTCCACGATTATTTGCGACTAATGTACCTACCGGGATTGAAAGGAAGTGATATTATATTGTTATACCACCATCTATACTTTATGCTTGGACTTTAAAGTGAAAACTATAGAAAAAAGTGAAAGTATCATAAAGCAGTGTGGTAAGATTTATTTGTGGTCACATAAGAAAGGACGATATATGGAATGATCGTTATATCAGGATTGAGGAGATATTGGCATGTGGTTTGGACACGTACAAAGAAGGCCATTGGAGGCTCCAACGAGGAGAGTAGGGGCAGTTATTGTGAGAAATTAAGAGCAGTTAATTATTATTAAATGTATAGTTTTTATTAGGTTCAGTTATATGTATTTAGGAGCAGTTATTTTATGTATGGCCTAATGGTTGATAGTTATTAAGTTTTATAGGAGCAGTTATTATGCAAAATTCGTATAAAAAATGCCGTACAGGAAAGGAGTGGAAGGAGCTGCCACGAGGGTGTATTTGGAAGTTCTTGGACAGAGTTATTCCTGCACGAATTGTTAAGAACTGGAGGAAATATTAAAAGGGATCTTACAATGAATTTGGTTTTTAACCGAGCTCAATAGTGTTGTGTGATTTGTAGCCGATCTCAAGTATGGAAATTAGTTGAAATTAAGATTATTTGGATACCAAGTTGGCTATTTCAGTGCTAGTAATTTGCTAATGAGCTTACTCAATACATGTTTTGGAATTAAGATTCTAATTACTTTCTTCCGTACTTCCTCCTTTCTACCTTTAGATTTTCCCTTGTTAATCTTTCTCCAGCTGTGTGTCAAAACATTAATTGATGAGTCTAAGATCTTGTGTGATATTGAGTCGAGTATACTGCAATCTCATGAGCTGTTATTTTGATGATAGATATGGCAGAGAGGATACCCACTATCTCCTTTATATACATGATGTAATGAGGATCAAGTTGTTTACATTGTCTAAGGAGTCTGAAGGTTGTCATAATTCTCTACTGGAGGTAAGTTGATATCAAACTAGCCAAGTGAGTATGTAATCTATGAAATTTTTTTTTTTTCATCATTGGATGCTCCTTTGTTCTATTGGTCTATTTTGTCTTAACAATTTTAAATTTTAAGCTTACTTGAAGGTGTTGTGGTAATATTTCAATCATAGATAATTGAAAAGGAAGCATTAAAGGGGAATTATCTGAACTAAACTAGTCAATATGTCAATCTTAGATAAAAGGGAGCCTTAAAGGGGAATAATCTGAATATTATTTCTTGATTAGGAACATAATCACAAATCTATACTTGTTAAGGTTCTAACATAAAACTAATTGACAGAATGTGGAGTAGCCTAACATATATTTAAACCATATCAAATGACATGAGCTAAGCAATGTGGGACTTTTAACATGCCCCCTCCACCGAAGCCTACCGGATCAGGCAAAGGGTACTTTTGACCCACAACGAAAAGACAACTCTTGACCCAAGACAATAACCAGAAAGATGTTAGGATTTTGACTCTGATACCATGTTAAGGTTCCAACATAAAAACCAATTGGCAATATGCGGAGTAACCTAATATGTATTTAAACCATACCAAATGACATGAAACAGACGATGTGAGACTTTCAACACTACTTATATAGGTTGATAATAGTCAAGAATACAAGAACTAGGCAAAGAAAATATCTGAATAATTAATGATCTAGAATAACGCGAAATAGGGAAATAAAATCTAGGAATAATTACATACAATCACTCTGTCCTAAATTAGTGATAATTGCTAGAAAAATATCCTGTCATAAATTAATGACATTTATAAGACTCTTCCTGCCCTAGTTGGTGAATGAATGTTAGTCATTCCCAACTTGCTAGTTAGCTGATGGAATCATTCAGTAGACAGCCCTTAAATTAATACGTCTGCTGGCTGATGTCTAGTGGGAACATACATACTTGTTATCAACTCAGTGTCTTGCTTTTTCTTTATAAAGTGCTGGTCTATCTCGATATGAATAGTTTTGTCATAGTTGCATAATATTATGGGCAATACTGATGGCTAATTTGTTGTCAAAGTTTAGTTCCATAGGACCTTAATACCTTATCTTTAAATCATGTAGGATGATTGTCATCCATAGTAGCTAAAAAATTCCTTGAGTTATTGCTCTCAATCCTGTCTCAAAGCTTGATTGGGCAACTACACTTTGTTTCTTGCTTTTCCATGTAAGAGACTCTCCCAAAAACATGCAATAGCCTGAAGTTGATCTACTGCATACTCAACATGTGTGTAGACTTTGTTGGTAAAACTTCCACCAAAGCTTGATTGAGCAACTACACTTTGCTTCTTGCTTTTTCATGTGACAAGAGTCTCTCCCAAAAACATGCAATAGCCTGAAGTTGATATACTGCATAGTCAACAACTGTGTAGGCTTTCTTGGTCAAACTTCCACCACTTATGAATAATGGCCCTCTCCCTAGTGTGGATTCATATACTTGAGAATTTGATGAACAGCTTGCTAATGTATTTCCCTTTTGTTCATGATGAATTGGCTTACAACACCAACAAATGTTAGTTCTGATTTAGTCTGTATCAAATATCTCAATTTCCAAACCAGTCTCTGATTTCAGGATCAATCTCTGCCCTAAGTAGTGCTAATTATAGTAGTATTCTATCCTAAATCATTATATATTTATAACATAGAACTTTAATAAAAAATGCAAAACAATACCACGGAATGGCTGATTTAATGAATATTTTCTTTCAGTCTTTTAACTAGAATTCAGTGCACTGACAGGTTTACAAGCGCAGTTATGATGTATGCATGCAGCTATATGAGAAGGACCTGCTGACAGAAACATCGTACCTTCACATATATGGGTTTGTTACCTTTTTGCCGTTGTCATCTTTCGTTACTTCAGCATTCTTAAATTAGTGGCCAGTTTTCCAAACTACATTTCTGCCACTTCTATCTAGGGTGAGTTTTGAAGTATTTGTGTTGCATTTACTACTCTTTTCTATATAGGTTGCGAGGGGCTGGTTTTAATGCTCAGCAGCTTGCAGTTGTTTCAGTAAGTTTCTCTTTGACTTTGTTGAAAATAATAATAAATATCCTGTATTTATTTAATATCCATTCCATAGGGATGTAGTATTTGATTTAGAGGAAATTGACTATCCTGTCATTATGTGTAATTAATATGATTAGCCCGTTTAAATATTCTGCATGGTGTCATTCAAACACACTCTTTCAGCACAATATGCTCTGTTCTTCTCTGTTATTTAATAGACTTACCCAAGAAATGAAAGCATGTTTTTTTCTTGAATACTGTTTTTGCTGTTTATATGGATAGCTTCATCAAATATTGTCAACATTGCAGTTTTACTCAGAATCCTACAATCCTACAGATCTTGATGTTGCCCTTTCGTTGATTGAGCCACTTCAATCCCTAGAAAGTATTTGAGACAACCAAGATCCTTAGTTTGGAAGTGATTACATAAATGTTTCTTTAGCAGAGAAATTTTATCAACATCATCCCTGTAATGACTATATCATCTACATATACAATTAAATAAACACATTTTCCTGAAGCAATATAATAAAAAACAGAATGATTTGCTTCACTTTGTTTTAATCCAAAACTTTGAACAATGTGACTAAACTTTCCAAACCAAGCATGTGGAGATTGTTTGAGACCATAGAGAGAATGATGTAACTTATAAACCAAACTAGACTCCCCCTAAGCAACAAAACCAGGAGGTTGCTCCATATTAATCTCCTCCTCAAGATCACCATGCAAGAACGCATTCTTGATATCTAACTGATGAAGAGGTCAATGACGGATAGCTGCCATTGCAAATAAAAGTCGAACAGTAGTCATTTTGGCCACAGGAGAAAAAGTATCACTGTAGTCAAGGCCATAGATTTGAGTGTAGCCTTTTGCTACTAATCTAGCTTGGAGTCGATCAACTCCACCTTTTGGTCCAACTTTAATGGCATAGACCCAACGACAAGCAACAGTCTTCTTCTCCGGTGGAAGAGGAATTAAGTTCCATGTACCATTGACAAGATTTCGACACTGGATGGTGTTGGAAAACTTCGATAATTGTGGTCATCCGTAGCCCACTTTAGTTGCGGTCACTTTCAGGATTGCCTTAACTGTAGTCTCAAGGGTGGTGGTTACTTAGATTACTTTAGTGATATGGCTTAACTAAAGACAGTCTTTACCTTATTAGTTTTCTGGGGTGTTTCACATACGATGATGTTTCTGTGCTAGATTTCTGCAGCCATTATATTTCATATACACTGTTCATGTCTCACAGGCGCTCTGTGAATGGCGTGATGGTCTTGCACGTGCAGACGATGAGGGGCCTGGCTATGTATTGCCAAATAAAATTATTCTTGAAATCGGTAAATGAAATTTATGTAAACTTCTATTGTCTTGTCTAATAAGTAGTACTTTTTCACAACAAACGTCAATTCAGTTTTTGTTTTCCCATTTCAAAGCTAAGCAGATGCCTGTCATTATAAGCAATTTAAGGCGAATAGTAGGAAGGTCAAAGCTCCCGTATGTTGAACGAAGCCTTGATGTCATTGTCAACATTGTTAGACATTCTATGCAAAATGCTTCTTCCTTTGAAGAGGCTGCACTACGTTTGAAAGAAGAACATGCAGCAAGTGTAAGTAGTATGTTGATCGGTTGAAGCCTTGCTAATTGATGCAGGAATTTTAGGTAGCATATCTGATTGGTACTTAATAGTGATGTGAATTGTTTTGAATAAACCTGAAGTTCTATGGTAATTTATCCTCTTCACTTATTCTCAATTATTAAGTGATCAAGATGAACTGGGATAATATGATATGCCACATCAAACTATAGGCTGCTGTCTGTTATCTTATTATAGCAAGCAAAAGAGAATGTAAATTGTTAGACTTAGGAGATTTCACACACAAATAGGATAATTTTATTGACAATTTTGGGTAAAACCAGAATTAGAAGACAATCCCATAAATGCAGGCCTAATAACTATCAGACATACATTTTCAATAAAATGCCCCGAACTGCTTAATAATTCAAACAGTAACTCTTCTGACATAAAATAATAATTGATACGTGTAAAAAGAACCATTTACTGTCACCTATGTAAGCATAATTGCCTCGTACATATATTGTAACTGCCTTCTATTTTTTTATTTATTTTTTCTAAAAACATCCAAAGATCTATAAAAAATTGGCCAATCGCAAATCTTTGACCATAATAAAAAATGGTCATTGTCTTCAAATTAAAGAAAATATGTAAGTGCTCAGTTACTTTTAAAATGGATGAAGTTAGTCATTGGTACTTCTAACATTTAATTGACTGAATCTGATGATGTGATATAAATAAATTATAAACTTCTAATTAACCTAGCTTGGGCTCTACTGTGTGTAGTTGGATTAAGCTCTTTATATTTTTTCCTTTTGCGTTCAAAATAGCTTATAATAAAAATATTAAGATAGCTTGTGGAAAAAAAAACCTTAAAATTAGCAAATTCTTATGCTATATGATTTACACATCTTTTAGACTATTTTATAATTGTCTGCTACCTATTCTCTAAGTGTGTATTTGACAGAGGAGACAAACCAAATGAAACTAAACAGGTAGAGTTGAGATAAATGAGAAATTAAGTAAAAGTAAAGTTGTTTGGTTGAAGAAGTAGAGAAGAGATGAGAAGAAAGTTACAGATATGAGTAGAAAGAAGTAAATGAGAAATGGTATTGCCGGACTCTATTTTTAAAATATTATTTCTATCCTTTTTTTTTCCACCCATCCTCTCAACCTAACTCACCTAACAGTTTAGTGGCCAGCCAGCTTCCTAAATTGATATTTTATGATTTTTTATTTGATTTTAATTACTGGTTTCTTACATGTTGATGAATTGTATATGATCATGATACAGTTGTCAAATGTAGTACCGGTTAAGGATGGATCTGAAGTACCTCAGACGCTAAACTTAAAGGTTGGATGTGCAGCAACAGGAAGCATTGGAATTGAAAATGACATCTGTGATGATCTCTCAGAGAATTGTTTATTTTCTTCTGACTTGGAGGAGTGTCTCACTTCAGATTTCCCAAGGGCCAGTCCCACTATTCCAGAGAATAATCAAGATGCTGCAGACGTTATTGCACTCTCTACAGGGAAGGTTGAAAAAATAAAAATCCAACCTCTTTAAATGTTTTTCCAACATGGATAAAACAAAACTAAAGGGATAAAAAGCTATTTCAATGTTTTTCGATCAATCTAAACCTAGCTAATTGGTTGATAGGGCAATGGAGAGGTGCTAAAACTGCCTACTGGTTCTGTTGATGCGCCACTGCTGGGCAACTCTACTTCAAAATGGAAGCCCAATCCTATTAAAGAGGTGAGCCTGTCATAAATATTTCAAATGATATCTCTTGCGATAGGGTTGTAAACTTGCTGCTTTTCCTTTTTGGCTGTTATTTTCTATTTTAGCATGCTTGACAATTGCTTATTTTTGAGAAATTATTATTATTTTCGAAAAATTTTGTTAACAAATATCAAGCCAAATATTTTTACTGCTAAGTAAACTAATTTAAACTTGCACCATGAGTTTTGGTGAGACCTTGTACTCAATTATTTTATCATGCATGCATGCATGATTACAGTACTTTTTAAATTTCTATTTGGACCACTGTTTCCATGCATTTCTTTTAAGTCTGCTTCTCGGTTGATCTTAGGTCAAGGAGGAGGTTGAGCTAGGACAAATTAAATCGTCGGACAATGTTCCATCCCTCTTAGTTTTGGACTATAGTGAGAAGGCAAAACTAGTTGTAGGAACTCCAAGTGTAGCATCGGAAACATCAGACCTACAGGAGAAACCTGCTTCAGGTTCAGGTTCAGGTTCTACCTCCACCAACCACTGTTGGGATTGTAACGATAATCTCTGATTCAGACTCCGAGGTTATGCTGCAGCAAATAACCTCCAAAAACCACCCAGTGGAAATTTCTCTTGTGCCCAAGAAAAGAATATGAAACATCAGTCAAGGTCTCAGTCTGAATTGTTATCAAACTTTGTGACACTGTTTTCAAAAACAACTAAACCGGAGCTGGAGACAATATCCAGTGGCTTTATAGCAGCTTTTTTGATGTTGAGGTGGCAAGGAAACAAGTTTTGCTTGGTAAAAGATAAAGAAAATGCATTTTGCCAACATGAGTCAGTAGTAAAATGAAGCCTCAACCCTAAAGCTTGGGGGAGAAGCAGAGCTGCAAGGTAGATGTTGGGTCTTTTCAGCTTCTGAGATCAAAGTGCCGCATTTGGGTGATCAAATGAAATTAGGTTGCATCATTATACTTAAGATAAAATAAAAGAGAGAAAAATAGTTTTTTAGGGGGCTTAATTACACCTCTAAGATGATATCCTTATTTATAATGATAAAAACAAGTACACTAAGTAGATGGAAGACCAAGGGGTAGAACTGTGAGCTAGAAGATATAGGAACAGTGATAGGTACAACTAATTAATGATTCCAACAAATAATTAATAATTTCAACAACTAGTTAATAATTCTAATACCACGATATCCAAATATTTGAGTGTTATTCCTATCTTCATATAACAAACCTTGTCCTAGAGCCTTTTTCAAATACCTCAAGATACGAATGATGGCATTTCAATAGTCATTGCAAGGAGCTTGCATGAACTGACTAACAACACCAATTGCAAAAGACAAATCAAGTCTAGAAATGGTAAGATAGATAAGTTTTCCAACCAATATTCTATATCTTTCTCGATCATAGAACAATTGACCTTGTTCAGTTATTAGTTTTTTATTTGGATCCATAAAATTGTCTGCTGGTTTACAGTCAATCATATCGGTTACTCTTAGAATATTTAGTGCTATTTCCTTTGAGATATTACAACACCTTCTCAGGACAGAGCTACTTCAATACCCAAAAAATATTTGAGACTCCTATGATCTTTGGTTTGAAAATATTTGCACAAGTGTTCTTTTAGTTGAGATATTCTAATAGCATCCCTCTCGGTAATAACTATATCATCAACATATACTATTAAGTAAACACATTTATCAGGAGACGTATAACAATAAAAAATAGAATGATCTGCTTCACTTCGTTTCAACTCAAAAGTTTGAACAATGTGGCTAAATTTTTCAAACCAAGCTCGTGGAGATTGTTTAAGACCATAGAGCGACGTAACTTACAAATCAAGCCTGACTCCCCTTGAGCAACAAATCCAGGAGATTGTTCCATATAGATCTCTTCCTCTAGATCGCCATGAAGAAATGCATCTTTGATATCCAATTGATGAAGTGGCCAATGACATCCCATTATTTTCTTTCCATATGAAAGGGGTACCAAGTCTCATGTGTGGCTCTGATCAAGAGCCTGCATTTCAACAATCATGGCTTGACGCCATCCAAAGTAATTAAGTGCTTCATTCACATTTTTTGAAATAGTAATGGAAGACACTAATGATATAAAAGAACAATACGAATGAGACAACTTGTGATAGCTAAAAAAATTATAAATGGAATGAGGGTTACGAGTAGAGCGAGTACATTTTCTGATGGTTCTGATGGCAATGGGTAGGGAATCATCAAGTTGAGGAATCACAAATGAGGATAAGAGGGAGAAGGACTGAAAGAAGAGGTCTCACCTTAGAGTGTCGCACGAGTAGTGTGGTTCCGACGGTGGTAAGTAAGAAGCGAAGGTGGTGCCAGTTCAAGGATGTGGATGACAGGACTAGGATCATTTGAGGCACGAGGGACAATTGACTCAACTAATGAAATAGGTAGAATCTCCTGGATGGAAGTAACATCTTGAACAGACTAAGGGAAGAAAGGAGTCAGTTCAAAGAAGGTGATACTAGCAGACATGTATTTCTTTCAAGAGAGTAACACCGATATCCTTTCTTAAGGCGAGAATAGCCTAGGAAGACATATTTGATAGCTCAAGCAGAAAGTTTATCTATCCCTGGGGATAAATTATGAAATAACATACATAACCAAACACACGAGGAGAGTATGAAAGAGAGGGAAAGAGAATGGAATAAGGAATCATATTAGAGAGAAGAGGATGTCATTCTATTAATAAGAAAACAAGCAGTTAGAATAGCATCACCCCAATGATAGGTTAGTAGATTGACACCAAGTAATAAGATACGAATAGTCTCAATCAAATTTCTATTTTTCCTTTCAACAATGTTCTTTAACGATGTCACTTCTTAAAATTTTAATTACTTGACCAAATTGATTTTTGATTTCATTCAAGAAGGACACAAAGATAGGTAACAACTCGAACGATCTTTCATGAGATAAATCTATGTACATCTGAAATATTCATCAATGAAAGTAACAAAATATCTGAAAACAAAAGATGAGACAAAGTTGGGCCTCCAAATATCATAATGAATAATAGAAAAGACAGAATTACATCTTGACTTAGATTTCTTTAGAAAAGATGATCTAACATGTTTGCCTAGTTAATATGACTCACATTCTAATATTTGGAGATTACTAAGTTTAGAAACCATTTTTTTAAATTTTGACAGACTGGGATGACCTAAACGATCATGTAACAGTTTAGGGTTTAGGGTTTTGAGATGCAAAACAAGACACAGGTGGCCTAGCTTTGAAATAGTATAAACCTCTAGATTCATGTCCTTCTCTAATCAGTCATCTGGTACCACGTTCTTGTATAACAAAATAATTGGCATCAAAGGTTATTGAACAATTTAAAGACTTGATTAATTGACTTAATGAAATAAGATTAAAATGACAAGAAGGAACAAATAAAACAGATTTTAAATTTAAAAAAGGTGAAAGAGAAACCTGATCCATTCCTTTGGAAGTAGCTTTAGAACCATTGACTAAGGTAATGGAACGAGGATTCTTGGAAAAGAAAAGGGATGAGTACAAGGATGCATTACTAGAAATATGGTCATAAGCACTTGAATCGATTATCCATGGATTTTGATTTTTCACATATTGTGAAATGTTAAGTTATTGGATGTCAACCTAAGATATTCCTAATACTCTTCATCAGATAATTTGGGCTTAACAATTTCAACTTTAGTGATATTGATTGTCTTGTTAGGAAAACAAAATGTGAAATAGTTCTCTTTAGCGTGATCCATCCTGTGAGGGCGCCCTTGACCACTCCTTCCTCCTTTAGCATTACGTCCTCCTCTGCCATGCGTAGAAATCATGGTAGAAGATTCCATAGCCTCTTGGTGGTTCTTATTTCAACTTGCAGCTTTAGGTTTAACTTAGGAAACCTAGAAACAAATCTTCAAATATGCAGGAAAGAAGAACCCAATTATCGAAACAAGACCAGGGAGGTCCAATGACAGACTATGGCTGACAATGGTGGATAGTGGCAGCCAGCGACGGATGATAGTGGTTGTCAATGGTGGCTTGAGGTTGGCAGACGGTGACTGGAGGACAATAGACTAGGAAAACGGGATTAATCCATTCTAATCCAACTTAAGATAAAATAAAAGAGAAAATAGTTTTTAGAGTGCTTAATCATACCTCTATCATGATATCTTATTTATAATGATAAGAACAAATACATTGAGTAGATGAAAGGTCAAGGGGCAGAATTGTGAGCTAAAAGATATAGGTACAAAGATTGTTATAACTAATTAATCATTCCAACAACTAATTAATAATTCCACAATTATAGTATGTTCTATGTACAAAAAAAAACTGGCGTTGCGTTCATTAGTGTCTATTAACACTATTTGAGAAAAATGAAAAACATTTATGTTCAATTAGCCGTTCAAATTTAAAACTGTATTTTTCGTACACTTTAATTCTGATAGATATAATATTTTCCTATACAAATAATAACATGTTGATAGTAAATTATTAATCATTGACTAATTTTGATAAGTTAGTCAGACTACCATTATATTCTAAGTCATATCTCTACTATTATTGGTGAGACCTTTCTGACAGATTTTTCTTTACGTCTAATGAATTTGGTGGGGTTCACCCCTCTAAGGTATCCATTGTTGATAGATATTGTCAGGGAGTTGACAATAGATGATAAATATTTTCGAGAAGAGATTTTAAACTATAGGGTACGAGTCAATTATATAAAAAAAATGATATTACTTTTAATTTAAAATTTTAAAATATTAAATTATTAATTTTTCTTATTACTTATAATATATCTTATTTTCTCTTTTCTATTCTTTCAACTTAAGATTAGATTCTTAACAATTACAGTAGCAAGACTCCAATCAGACAGACATCCATGAACAAAACAAATCACCATACATTTGTCAAGGTGATGTTTTACATTTGCCAAGGATATCGGGCCATTTATATGATTTTCTTGATCCTTAAAATTCTCATATACCTCATCAATCTTAACATTTCTCATCAGGGACGTTCCTTATATTTTATTTCACAATCAATCCAATTTCGTCATTTTTTTAGTCACACTCGTTAATAATCATAATTGAAATATTAATAATTTCATCTCAATTTTGACATAGTGAGTCTTTAAAAATTGGTATTTGCCTTAGCGGATATTTAGGGACACATTCACTCAAGCTTATTAATAGTAGATAATTTTCCTTGTTATTCATATATCAGTCACAGTTAGTTTTGTAATAGTCTTCTTCTATTAACAATATCTTTTACTATGTAGAGTTTTATATAAACTCTGTTTGTAAATGTCTTTCTCAATTCCTTTAATACAATGAGATTTTTTTACACAATCTAAGAACTAAGATGACATCGGATGGTTCAATCTCTTGATTCTTTCTTTAATTGCTATGGCTTATGAACCCTATATTGATTTTCACATAAATCCATCAGTTCTTTTCTTCATTTCAATGAGGCATTTTTCTAGTTGTTGATTTACAAGAGTTATACAAATTGAACAAATGTACTATTTTTGTTATTAAGTTTTA